GATGGTGCTGTTGACGGTGTCTTGGGTCTTGTAGAAGACCAACGGATTGTTGTCCGTCACCCAGCGAAATTGGCTTCGACCAAGGAGGAAGTGCCACCACCGCTTGAGCGCGTGGACGAAGGCGAGGAGCTCCTTCTTGCGTGCATCGTCAATGGAATGCACGAGTGGCACTTTCTTGCTGAAGTACTCGACCGGGTGCCAGTCCACACCATCATGTTGCTCGAGGACTGCACCAATGCCATAGCTTGACGCATCCGTAGTGACACGCGTAGGCGCGAGCGGGTCGTATATCCGCAAGACCTCCGCAGACAATAGCGCGGCTTTGAGAGCGAGGAATGATCCCCGCGCCTCCTGTCCAAAGTCAAACGGCTGATCCTCGCACTGAATCTTGTTCAAGTGGGCCACGATCTTGGAGTAGCCTTTGATGAAGCGCTGATAGTAGTCGGTAAGACCGAGGAACGAGCGGACATCCGTGACGTTCGGAGGCTCCGACCACTCTTGGACGGCGTGAATCTTGTCCGATAACGGACTGATGCCCTCCGGTGTGACAAAATGGCCCCAAGTATTCCAGCTCTTGCCGGACAAATTCGCACTTGTTGCGGCTGGCCTTGTACTTGGCACGGCGGAGCGTCTCCAACACTCGTCGAAGATGTCCAAGATGATCCTCCAATGTCCGGCTGTAGACGAGAATATCGTCTAAGTAGACCAACACGAACCGGTCTAACATTGCACGGAACTCATTGGTCATCGCCGCCTGGAATGTCGCTGGGGCGTTGGTGAGGCCAAAAGGCATGACCACCCACTCAAAATGCGCGTACCGCATCTTGAATGCGGTTTTGTAGCGATCATTCGGTTGAATCGAGATTTGATGATATCCTGATTTCAAATCGATCTTGGAAAAATACTTCGCACCGCCCATCCGCTCGAGAAGATCGTCGATGCGAGGAAGAGGCCCCACATTCTTGACGGTTTGCGCGTTGAGCTTGCGGTAGTCGATGCACAATCGTAGCTCCTTGTTCTTCTTCCTGACGAAGAGAACTGGTGGTCCATATGGGGAGCTACTCGGGCGGATCCAGCCCTTGGCCAACAAATCATCGAGTTGTGCGCGGAGTACCTCAAGCTCCTCCTCACTCATCCGATAGATGCAACCTTTCGGCGGCACGGCACCGGCCTCAAGAATGATCTCGTGAGAGATCGGCCGACCCGACACCACACCGGTAGGTGACTCGAAGATGTCGGCGAACTCGTCCAGCAACCGTACCACACGGGGGTCCGAAGACAAGTCCGTGGGTGAAGAGTTGGCTACCGCGACGGTCCGTAGGAAACATATGCCGATCTCCTCGGGCTGCTCGTAAGCACAAGTCGCCCGGAATGATTTGACTGTTACCACTTGGCACCGAATCGAAGGGTGCGGTAGAGGAATCGTACACGCCACTTCCGCGCCGAAGGCGTTGCGAACGCTAAGAGTCCACCGATGGAAGTTGACCGTGTGATCCGCACTTGCAAGCCAAGTCATTCCCAGAATGATGTCGAAGTCCGTGTCGAGAATATCGAATGTCACCGGTTCGCATGCATGAGGTGCGAAGTAGACCATTACGGCCTCGATGTAACGGTCGAGAAGTTGCTGTGTCTTACCATCCGCCAACTTGATCGCCGTTGGGTTTGCCTTTCTCCGAACTTGTGCGCCAACTTTTTGCATAAAAGATTGGCTCATGAAGTTGCGAGTCGCGCCGCTATCCAACAGAGCGTTGCAGGACGCCTGTCCAACCTGGATGCGGACATACATGAGCGGTGCGTTGTTGTTATCGTACCGCTGCGTGCGAAACTCGCGGGCCACCTTGGTAGTATATGCCAGGATGTCCCCCACCTCGACTTCGTCATCTGTCGGCGAAGTTGGTGGTGCATAAAAGGAAAGGTAAGTGTGGAGATGAGCGTTAAGTGTTGCGCATTGCGGTCCCGACAAACAGCCTGTGGTCGGGAGAGGAAGCCATGCAAAGTCCTTAGACGTGAGCGGGTCCAATGCCTCTACATTGAACTCGCGCGCCGAATCCCGTGATGAACCACTTGAAGACGATCTGTCGCTGTTGTCGGACGGAGAAGAAACCGCACACACTCTTTGTCCGTGAGCTTGAGTACCCAGCGTTGGAACGAGCCGGGCAGCATAGTCCTCAAAAGAAAGTAGAAGCGGAGGACTGTCGACTTCCGCATGCGCCTCAGAATGAAGGCTGGTCACTCGCGAAGAAACCAGTTCCGAAGGCGTCGAGAGTGTGATCTCATCACTCTCGGCGGTGCTCAGTTTCCTTGTCGACCCTTGCCCTTCAGTGGGCAAACCGGCATCAGATGAAGATCGCTGTTGCACCACAGGCAATAATGGAATCTCTCGCGCGCCTTGTAGGCGGACTCAGAGATGCCGTACGGGGTCCATGGGCCTGTCTGAGCTGCTGCACCGGGATCGGGGCTAAAAACGGTGTGTGTCTTCGGCTTGCCGCGACCTCGGCCTCTGCCAGAGCGGCCACCTTCCCGGGCGGCTGCGAATCTGTCTCCTTCATTGGTAGACGCAGCCTCGCTGGATTGGTCTAACGGCGCTGCCGCTACGACCACGGCCACTCGTGGCCGATGCTGGTTCCCGCTCGGGCCTGACGCAGATGAACGGAGGTTCTTGGCCTCCTTGTTCGTAACGATGATCTTCGCAGCCTTGTCGAATAATTCCGCCGTTGTCGCCAAGGTGTCCTCGACATGCGTCAGGGCATTGCTCAATGCCGGACATGACCTTGAGATGAAATAGTGGCGGATGGCCTTGAAGCCCATCTGGATGTCAGGGATTGATGTCAAGCGTTGGTACTCGGCGATCCAGTCCGTACTCGGCAGCGAGCCTTGCTCGAAGACCATAAGCTTGTCCATGGCTTTGATCTCTGGCGGCTCCACCTGGAACCGCTTGTGCCACGCCGCCTCCATCCCAGCTGATCATGGTGTGCAAGTCCGCTGCTACCACTCCGTACTTGGACAATAAGTTGTCCAACCACGCCTGACACGCGCCCCCTGAGCGAGAGTACAAGTAAGCGTGGTGCTTGTTTTCCTTGACGTTGTGGAGCTGCAGCGTGAGCTCGAACTTGCAAAACCATGGAATTGGATCTGTCTTGATTGAGTCGTGGAAGATCTCCTGCCCATCGAACTTAGGAGCTGTCTCGCGCGGCTCCGGACTCAAGGTGGTGGCGGTAGTGCAGATCCGCTGCTGCAATTGTTGCGTCGCGGTCTGCTGTAACTGTGCGCCATCCTGGAGGGAGCCGACGCGCATCTCCAATGCAGTGAGGCGGTCGGCAGTGTTGGAAGAGCCTGCATCGGCGGCGGCGACTGGTCGCTGCTCCACCCGCTGAAGGCGGTCTTGGAGATGAGCTACCGAGTTGTCGAGAGC